GCCAAAATCATCACAATTAAAAGAACCAAAGACTTAAACTACTTCAGTCTGTGCGCATTGAATTTATTTAATACACGAGTTTCACAATTTGAGTTGAATTACTGAAATAAAAACGTTTCCACGACATTCTAATTTATTGAGATGCACCTGTATATGTGTAAAAGAAGCCTTGCTTTTTAGTTTAGTTTTTATTGAGCCTTGGGGATTTCTCATATGTAAGAGTCTTTGCAGTTAGTTACAATAATTAATTTTTAATGAAAAGTGTCTGCCTAAAAGTGCATAACTATCAAAATAATATATCTAGACAATTCCCTGTCTGTAATTTGTACCTGGACATTTTTTTTAAATTAACAAATTAACAACAATTTCAGGTTATTTATAAAACCTATAATGTCTATAGACAGCTTTGAACTGTTTTATCACCTTATGCCATGGTGTGATATTTATTTTTAAGAGTACAAATAGTCTTTCTTAATCAGTTATTATGGTCTTAAACACTATGCTTAATAATTCTAAATGAATTATGAACTTTTTTTTTAGCACCAGTGGACATGTTATCTTGCATAATTACACCAGTGCATAATAAAATCAAGGTCGTATAAACTATGCTAAAATTACTGAGGGGTAATATCATGTGATACTTGTGCCATGGGGTTTTACTGAAGTGTACATTTTTCTGTGTAACGTTTAGTGCTATTTAAGGTCTAATTTATTTGACATCCCTAGAGGTAGCTTTGTGCCTGTGTTTGCTTTAGGATTACAGGAGCCTTACACCGTTTCATAACACTGGAGTACATGTACACACATGCATGACAGAACATGCATGGACACACAAAGCTTACTTTGTGCACCTCAATTGTTGATGCGGTATAGCAAGAGAAGAATTGCCAACTACTGATACTGCCCAGTTTATTAACAGTTCTGTACATTACTGCCCTCTGGCTGGCATAGTGACACAGTAAACGTGTTTTAGAACAGTTAACAGTATGTCCACAGGCAGTTGCACATTTTTCCCTAATATTGATGTAAGGAGCCCATAATGTCAGATATATAATGCTTTTATTGTTGGAAATGTCTGTTGATCAACCATGAACATGAAGCATTTATTAATATTTATTCATGTATATAATTATACATTGTAGATTGATTTATTAACATCTTTATAATATACAAATATCGTTTATTGTTAATTCTTAATGCAAATAATGGTAAAATGTACAACTTGTAATTAAATGTTTAATCAATGCTGTTAAAGTATTGATCCTGTTAACTAATGTTAACAAACCTAAAGTGTTACTTTTAAATATTTGAAATTGTTTTATTTTTTTTTTCAAAAGAAACACTAATCAATGATGTATGTCTTTTTTTATTCTGTTTTTATGAAAGGGTGAAGATAATGATGAGCAGTATTGTCACCCTCTCGGCCCCAGTCATGGCAGGTGGGACTGGATGAGAGCGTGAAGGTAAACGAAAAAGACATGAAAAGCACTTAACTTAAGTTTTCAGCACATACAAAAAGGGTAAGTGCTGTTTAGCTGTCTCCCTACATGTAAGAAAAAACATTGACATGCTTAAAACAAACAACAACAAAAAAATCAGCTTTATCTTATGTTTATTCATTTTTGGTTTTGTTGGTCACATGTTGTACAGATAGCAGACAATTTTGGAGCCTGCATCCCCTTAAACGTCGCCGTGATATCGAACCAGAGCCTGCAAGGCAAGGCAGCCACGGCCGAGTTTCAATGGCAACGGCACCCTAGGGCTGCCATGGCAGCAGCTGCCGCCGATGCCTCACACCATATTGCCACACTGACGCTGGAGGACGAGGAACGACGAGGCGCCACCAAATTGTTTGGAGGTCCCGCTGCAGGGAGGACGGAAAGAGAGACAGAGAACGAGAAAGAGAGGGAGAGGGAAGGGAGAGGCAGTGGGGACGAGTGTTTGGTGTGCGGTGCACTCTTCGGCTCACAGGACAAGCTCCGGCTCCACGCGTTCTGTCACACAGGAGAGAAACCTTTCCACTGTTCCCAGCCCCATTGCCCTAAAGCTTTCAGCTCCAAATATAAGCTCTTTAGGTAGGTGCTACTTGCATGTAAAGGCCACAGTATACTTCAAGTGTAATGGAATGAATTGTTGTGATGTCATTTTAAATTAAATCTGGCCTAAACAGCATTTGGCATCTGGTGGTTCGAAACATCTCGCCAATGCAAACTTTATGGAAAACTTTCCACTTGCTGTTAAAGGGCTTTGAACTGCCATTGGTCCATGGCAATTAAATAATCATAGATGGGAGTGCTCTGGGGCTCTACCTTCTTTAACAGTGAAATCTTTTCAGGTGTATTTTTTCGCTCAGTTTGTCGTGGTCAGGCATGAGTGAAAATATGAAGCTCATCCCTATGATCAGATTCTCTCATTGCTGTCATTTTTGTTGTTTGTGGTGTTAAAAGGATATTGCAGAACGGTACGCGAGGACTGGAATTGAGAACCACTGGTATAAAGGGGTATAGTCCAATCCTGTTCCTGGAGGGCCACTGTTCTGCAAAGTTGAGCTCAAACCCTAATTAAAGGGATAGTTCACCCAAAAATGAAAGTTCTGTCATTAATTACTCACCCTCATGTCGTTCCAAACCCGTAAGACCTTTGTTCATCTTCGGAAAACACAAATTAAGATATTTTTTATTAAATCTGACAGCTCTCAGACCCTTCATAGACAGCAACACAACTGGAATGTTCCCAGGTCCAGAAACGTAGCAAGGACATCAGTAAAATAGTCCATGGGACATCTGGGGTTCAACCGGAATTTTAGGAAGCTACGAGAATACTTTTTGTGCGCAAAGAAAACAAAAATAATGACTTTATTCAACAATTCTTCTCCTCCTCCTCCTCTCATCTGCAGCAGTGTGCCACCATTGTGGAAAGAGTATCAGGATGCATGCACTTGCTTCTGCTTCATGTAAACGTGTAAAAGCATGTGTTGTTTAGAAGTATTTCTGGACACTTCCAGAAAGGTGTGTTGGAGCTAAATTATGCCGGAAGTTGGTCATCCAAGGGCAGGAGTAGACACTACTGCTTGAGAGCGTCCCACTGCAGTCTGGCCTGAACTTGATGAATGCAATGATGAATTCGTTTAACAGAAATTTCCAATGTACCTTTGTCTGTTAGTCTTTAGCTAAAGACTGTCTTTGTCTCCTTTGTAGGCATATGGCCACACACTCCCCACAGAAGACTCATCAGTGCTCATTCTGTGAAAAGATGTTTCACCGCAAAGATCACCTGAAAAACCATCTGCAGACTCACGACCCCAACAAAGAGGCCTTTAAGTGTGAGGAGTGTGGCAAACACTATAACACAAAGCTGGGCTACAAGCGCCACATGGCCATGCACTCAGCCACAGCCGGTGATCTTACCTGTAAGGTGTGCTTGCAAAGCTACGAGAGCACGCCTGCACTCTTGGAGCACCTCAAGAGCCACTCAGGCAAGTCTTCAGGTGGTGCCAAGGAGAAGAAACACCCTTGTGACCACTGTGATCGTCGCTTTTACACACGAAAGGATGTTCGGCGACACATGGTGGTTCACACGGGACGCAAAGACTTCCTGTGCCAGTACTGTGCCCAACGTTTCGGGCGGAAGGACCATCTGACGCGGCATGTCAAGAAGAGCCACTCGCAGGAGTTGCTGAAGATCAAGACAGAGTCTCCGGATATGTTGGGTTTACTTGGGTCTGGTTCTTCACCTTGTGCTGTGAAAGAAGAGATAAGTCCTATGATGTGTAGCATGGGACCTATCAAGGACTCGATGATGGCAAAGCCTTTCCATGGTGCCACCCCTTTTCCCATGGGCATGTACAACACTCATCATCTCCAGGCCATGTCCAATCCTGGTGTGGGCCACCATCACTCACTGGTTCCAGGGTCTTTATCCACTGCCATGGGGATGGGTTGCCATATGGAGCCCCCATCATCACTGCACCACCATCACCCACATCATCATCACCACCCTCACCATCATCACCACTCCCCACCTCCACACCAGCAGCAGCCTACCCTGCAAAACCAGCAACAACAGCACCCTCAGCCACCGCCCAAGTACCAGCTCGGATCTACCTCATACCTGCTGGAGAAGCCCCTGAAGGTGGAGATGGACAGTTTCCTGATGGATCTACAGAGTGGACTCCCAATTCCTCCGCCGCCCTCAATCGACCCCCACTCAGCAGCTTCGCCCAATAAGGAGGGTATGGAACCTCCGGCGGGACTGTCGGATGACCTTTGCGGGGACCCCCTCATGTCCAAGAGCCCCGCTGTCATTGCTGAGTCTTTGTGTGCTGCTAACATGGACTTTTCTCATCTGCTGAGCTTTGTTCCACTCAGTCTGCAACCCTACGGTGCCCCCATGAGTTCAGGAGGACTGGTCATGGGTTACTCCACATCCTCCACAATTTCTTCCTCTTCTTCCTCATCGTTGTCAGCATCTTCGCATGCTGCTGAACCACATGCTGCCACAGCCACAGCTGCAGTGCCTCTTACCTCTTTGCAACCTCAACCTCAGGAGCAACCAGGCTCCGGTGGGGGTCTCAGTCTTGGGTCTCTGCACCCACTCCCACCAGTGTTCAGCTCTAGCCTCAGTACGACCACTCTGCCTCGCTTTCACCAGGCCTTTCAATGAGGTCCCCAACCTGGCCTGCCACAGGGGCTCAGGGCAGAGGAGCATTAGTGCTCCCCCTAGGGGTGGGGAGGTAGAACACTTGAACACATAGAAGCCTTAACAAAAGCGCACAACAGCTTTGTAATGAGCCTGGAGGAAAACAAGCATATGAAATATCATGGAGCTTTTATTTAGGCTGTCTGAATTATAGCTATGATTTTTTAATACCCTTTTGAACCTCTCCCACCATCCCCTCTCCTACAATTTTGTAGTTAGACAGCAGCATCAGTAGGCCGTAAGGCATGGTACTGCATACTTTATAAAGTAATAATATTAGTAGAAAAAGGAAAAGATTAATGTAGAAAAGATAATCCGTCTTTGAGACTAGTTTGAAGTGATATATGAATTTCGTTTTCTTTTCCAAATGTGAGGCCTGACTTTACTATATTGTCTCTATTCTATTAAGATTATAAGTCAGGTAATTGCTGGTTTCCCTTAAACTAAAACCATCTTCATGGCCAGGAGTGGAAGAATTAGGGAAGGAATGAAGGAGTGAAGGAGTGAAATTGGTTATTCCAAATTTAGTTGTTTATTAGTTTATATATCTATATCAATCAAGTCATTATTATTACATATTCACATATGAATTTAACGAGCAGTTTAAAAACAAATACTGTGTACCTGATTAGATGAAAATGTCATCTAAAAATGTGTTCTTCCAGCGTTTTTGTGTTGATAATACAAATTTACACTTGTTGGAATGGTCAGTAACTAGTTTTTATGTGAAAGAAGCAGAGGGACTGAAAATAGAAAGGCAAAGAGGGTAAAATAAACTGCACAATTTGTTCATTTGGTACAATGTGATCACTGACAGAACTAAAGCAAAAGACATTTTACGTCATCTTACAGGTTTACAATTTTTCTCAAAAGAAGCACTTTGTTTACAGCAGAAGGCACTTGACCTCTTTGGGTTGCCAAGATGACCCACACTGAAATCCCCTCCCTTTCCCCACTCTACCTTCACGCTTCCTGAAAAGAGACTGCCATTAGACACACACACACACAAAGTTCAAACAACCCAAGTACCTTTGAATACTCCACAGCAATCCGAGTCTCAAGATGGTTTTCCTCCTTCCAGCACTAATTTTAAGTCTCCGTGGCAACAATATCCCACCAGATCATGATATAAATATATGTATTTTAAGAATAAAAAAAGTATTTTAGGTAGGTTTTTATTTTAGAGAGATACATTGTAATGATAACCCTGGTATATGTGAATGGAAAAAAGACAAAACAAAAACAAGATTTTTTTTTTTTTTTTGCAGTGTACGAAGTACCACATCAAAAATATATATTATAATTGCTTCTTTTTCAGTATATTTTGTAATTTAGATAGTTGTATTAAAAAATTGCTGATGGATTTAAAAAAAAATATCTAGCAGGTTTACAGAATTATGTATCTTGCATCTTATTGAACAAAATGGATGAAGTATTAGCTTTTCCCTATAGCTTTTCCTGTTCCTTGTTTTTCCATGTGAGATGAATAAGATGGGATTTTACCTGCATATACTAGACTAATAGTGGCATAATCCAGTAGAATGGACTAGTCTTTAATCTTTAGAGCATGAACTAGATGCCCATAATGTGATCCAGGTTTCAGTTTGCGTTTTTTGTTCTCAGTATTCGATCAGACCTGACTCATGCTGTCTATTTGTGTGTTTAGTTGTACAGTTTTTAACCTCCACGATCATATACACCATCGCACTGAAATGTCTGAAACCGCAATTCCAGTTGCTGTAGGTTCAGTTTAAAATGACGAAAACAGGAATTTTGTCATACAATCCCTTACAAGTTGTCATTTCCCAGCAAGTGGACTGCACAAGTTCTTACCAAATAATCATTCATTACCAATGGCCATGCGAGGAAGAGTTGTGTGCAAAGAAACAGATGATGATCAACGTACCAGCAGTGAAAGCAGTGCCTCATACAAACAGATGTATTTTTCTCTCCCTCTCTTCACCTCATCCCTTTGGCTAAATCTATTCTGTGTCCACATCTGTGTTTATAATGAATGTGAATATCTCACAAGCAGGAAAGACCATAGAAAGGTAAAAGGCCACATCGCAAAACTAAGACAAAACAATATTATGCTGCTCTTTGTGCTGTGGTTGCCAGCAACCATAGACCACTCTGGAAACATTTTAAACTGCAAATGATCTTTTAGCAGAAAACATGCACAGTACACGTGAACTGTTTGTCCGTTTTCTCTGTTCTTCAGCTGCTTTGATTCGAATGAACATTTTATGAAAAGGGTCTGAAAAGAGACACAAAGAAGTCACCAGCCTGGTCTTTGACATTCAAAGCATGGGACATTTGATTGGGATATTGCCTAGTCGTTTTGTCATCATATTATTTTCTGTTTGTTGAAACAGGACCTCAAAACAACACAACGCATCACCTCATTTATTTGTTTTTTTTCATACCAAAAACCTGGGGAGAAGAAACTTCTTTTTGCACAATTGCTAACTAAAAAAATAATCGAGTTAGTTTTGCTTATACTGTAAGAGTGTTTTTGTTAGAAATAATTGTTTCATAAGAAAGTCATTAACAGTGAGTTTTCCCTTCATCCTGCTCTGTAATAAGTGGGGTGATACTGATTCATAGGCATTCATGGATTTTTTGGCATTTTCACAATAAATAATAATGATAATAATTTAAAAAAACATTAAAGGTAATTTAAAATGAATTTGACAATTAAAAAAATGGAATTGTACATATTCTCATAGTTTGGCTTGAAGCTATAATTTATTTCTAAGAAATAGGAAGATATGTTTAACAGAATAAAAGAAGGCTATTGGCAATTTTTGAGTTTGTCCTCCCCGGGTTTTCTGTGAGCTGATCTGAATTCTAGCACTTTTAAACCTTTAAAAAAAAAAAAGAGAGTATTTTTCAGCCTTGTATGTTTTTAATTTTGTATTTGATCTTGTATGTGCCATTAGTTTAATGTGTAGAGTTTATTCATCTTTATGTAATTGTTGTTTTTCTCCTTTCCCAAAAGAGTAACAGTATTTTAGATCGATTTTCACTAATATTAACAGCATTGGCCCTTTTCCCACACTGTCGTCATACATTTGAGGAAGTCATTTAATCTTAAAATAGATGTTAGAGTAACATGCTCAGAATCATTCTCTGTGTCTGAATTCTGAAATTTGATCAAATCCTCATTGCCACAAACAAAAGAAAAAACGTTTCCAGCTCCATCTATAACTGAGGTGTTTTCAATCAGCATTTCTTATAACAAGCTGGCAGGTTCAACTGGTGTGAAATTGTTCCCAGCTCTCTGCCCCCCGAAAAGCACTTTTGGTTCAAATGAAGTTTTATATAATAACTGCCTGAATAGTTGGAGCTCAGCATCTGATTTTAGTTTTCAGAGGTGTTTTTCTTTTTTTTTTAACCAGCAATATTCTGCAGCACACAGATTAACCAAGTTAAATTGATATTTCCCTCTCTTGTTGCAATGCACTTGTCCTTTACTCCGCAAATACTAACAAAAATATTAAGGGAAATTATGAGGTAACCAAGCTAGGGTAAAACAAAACAATCTGACTTTTAAGAAAAGGAAAAATGATTCAATAAAATGCTCTTTCGGCTTATAGTGAGAAAATGGGAATGTCCGCAGAGGACAAAATCCACTTGTAGTTTGATATATTTTAGCTTAATGTAAGTCTTGCATTCCAAGCTTTTTATGTAACTTGTTTAGCAATATAATCGTTCTATTTTTAGTACTTGCTTATTACCACGACTTCTGGAAAAAAAGGTGAAAACAAAAAATTTTTATATTCATCCTTACACTATTTTATATAACATGGAGAAGATGATTGACAGGACGAATTGTACAAAAGAAATGCATAACGGAGACAAACTGTGCTTTTTTTGTTACACAACTCACCTGCGGTCAGTTGCTGCATTGTAAAGTTGACAGATTTGTATATTGGTTGATCCAAAGAGATGACATTACAACAAACCTATTTACTTATTGTACAGTACATTGTACCATTTGACTTATGTGTTATGTTAAAATGATTAAAAGACGAACCCACGGTTTCATATTTCTGGCGTCCTTTTTTTAAGCGTCTGATTTCCTGTCTGCATGAGAGGGTGCGAGAAGAAACGGGCTGGTTATGGCTGAAAACTGCCATTCACATACCATACAGCCAGAACAGGAAACCACACCACAGCACACAAATGAAAAGACAAGAAGGGCACAATTCCAAGTAATAAAAAAACTGAGCTCTAGCCAGGCTTAATTATAAAGTGGACCTCAAACCTATACTTTCACATCTCAAAGAGTTGTTTTAGGCCCAAAATGCCCACCAACAATACATAACGCTCCATCATTTCTCATGTGAAAATGACTTAAATCAGGAGGAATTTGAGGTTTTACAGTCTTGTCTTGTATTCCAAGAACAGCCAAGGCTCTGACTTCCTACTCTTCTGAGAAAACGCTCCCAACGCAGCCGAATTGGAGAAAACGCTCAACGCGTAACGTGCCGAGCGAACGATGTTCTCAACAAAACCTGGACGGTGTTTTAAATGTCAACATATTGGCACCTTTATTACTTAATACATTGGAAATTGACATTTTTAAAAGAGGAAGGGGAAAAAAAGATTTATAAAGAAAAAAAAATAACATGCTTTTATCTAAAACAAAGACATAATGGGACAAAGAGCTCCACAAATAAAACCCTAAAATGCAACACTATAAAGTACTGTATTTACACCATAAACATACACATCGACCCAACGCAACAGGCAGAATAAAGTGCATCTGTAGAAAATATATTCTGTAGATCTTGCATTTATTCATTAAGTCACCTGTGAGGACGACAGGAAATACAGACCGGTCTAAAAGCAGATGTAGATTTTGCTATAGTGTTTTAAACTACTGAATCCTGCATCTGCTTCACTTTAGGGCATAGAGTCAGAATTAGGATCCAAATATTGTATCTTGTGTTTTGAGAGAGCTAAAAATGATAACCATTTTAAGTTCAAATCTAAAAAGTACCATGGATGTAAGCAAATATACCGCAACCTGCTGGGCACTGCACAAATTTGTGTTGATACCCTTGAATTTCGGGGTATATCCACCAAGATGCATCTGATTTTGGCTACAGCAATAGTCAATAGGTGGTCAATACATGGCAGAAAGATTTTTTACAAAAAAATGGCTTCTCTAATGTGGAATATCAAATGTGTGTGACATTGAAAAACAGGCCTTTCTCTTAGTGGCAAAGAACAAACAAACAAAGCGATACTGCATTATTATACGTCTTTTATAGGTCCATTGACCAGCAAGCACAAGGAAACAGAAGGAAATCTACTTCTTTTTTTAATGTCCTTGCCTCATGTCTTTACATCCCATAATTTCAGTCCATGCCAACATATAAAGACCACAGAGTGACCACACATTCACACACACACATACAAGACAAGCATTCAGGAACTCAGTTCTGAATCAAAGACATAGAAACAAGTTGAAATCAAATGTTATATTAAAAGGACACAAAGCTAATTTGTAAAATGATATATGCAACTAACCCTCAATGTCTTCAAAAGCATGAGACCCAGCCCACAAATCCAACATCCCCACCCAAACTTAAAGAAAAAAAAGTCGACACACTTTGGCCCATGTTGTGTGTGCAAAAAGATATACAGACATTAAAAATGGAACTGTTCATGTTGTTTCTTTACATCTTTGCTGAGGCAGAGATAGCAGGACAGAAAGGTTTTGATAACGGTGTACAAAACACATCTATGTTCATTCCTCCAGTCCATAGGGGGGCGCTGCTGCGCCTCATGCCAGCAATTCACACATCAGTGCTTGCTTCACAAAACAGAAAAAAAGGAAACAAAAACTGAAAGAATTATTTCAGTCGATTTTGACCGCAGCATAAATTTTCCGTATGAACACATAAGCGGCATAGAAGCCAATCGTTCCCGTTAGCAGCCAGAAAGACAAAACCATCAGGGTTGTGTAGCCAAAATACAACAGAGAGGGAATGAACTCCACAATGTCCAGCTGGGAGGGAAAAAGAAAGAAAGAACTATGTAAATGTTGAGTACCTCAAAACAGAGATAAATGTGTTATTGGATACAAAAAAATATATTAAGCTAGTCACGTAAACGTCAATCTGGGACTTAATTTAGCTAGAAAATGCATTTTAAAATTTATTTTAACTAGGCCTATTTCAATTGATGCTATGTCCATCTTTCCTTTTTTTGGTTTTGCATTTTGTAAAAGCACTTTAATAAAAAAAATAGTATGCAGACTGGCAGATCCTCAACAAAATTATAAAGCTGATGTGTCATTTTTGTGCAAATAGCCGCAAACAAATTGTAAAGCAACTTTTTTTCAAACAGGTTTCTAACAATCTGCCCATCCTAAAATCAGTAGATTAAATAAGCATTTTCAGAAACACAAACTTTACTGTTAATTTGATAACATTACAAAATATTTCTATTTCAAATAAATGTTGCTCTTTTGAACTTCCTATATTTCAGTTTCCTGAAAAAAAAGTATCACAATTTCCCCAAAAATATTAAGCAGCACAACTGATTTTAACATAGATAAACAAATGTTTCTTGAGCAATAAATCAGGATATTAGAACTCAGATTTGTCATCAAAAAAAAAAAACATCAAAAAAAAAAAACAATAAAAAGGAAAACAGTTATTTTAAATATTTCACAATATTACTGTTTTAATGTATTTTGGTGAGCACAAGAGTCGTCTTCCAAAAAAAATAAAAAAATAAAAATTTACAAACACGCGTGTGTGTGTGTGTGTGTACACATACATATGTGATTATATTACTGGATGCTCGAAATTGAACAGGAGAATGCATGTTTTAAACAGCTTATTGTACAGGTAAATTAATTGCCGTTCTAATATAATGTGCTGCTGCACTGTAACACACACACATAGGCTACAGACAGTACTGTAGCTCATACATCACGCGCAGATCATTCAGTGCGGAAAAGTATTGTCAACACTATTCTGGGAGTTCTCAATAAAATAGCTTAGTCTTTTAATATGTCATAAATTGATTTTTGTTGTAAATATGCCTGACAAAATTGTTACACTGAATTACATTTTAGTGGGTGTCTTCGTGAACAACAATTTAAATCAGTATTGCACTTATTGTTTTTATGCTTAAACCCTTTTTCGTCTTTGACCCATATAAATATATATTTGGGCTGTCAGTCGATTCAAATCTAATTTTAACCTAATTACACAATGTGTCGATCAATTAATCTAATGAATCGCAAATTAAATTTGGCTGTGAAATTACCCACAAAAGATTATTTAAAGCCATTATTGTATTAAATGAGAAAGTATCAAATAGACATTACAAATAGTAGCTGAAGAAATAAAGACATGACACGTTTATCTGGGCTTAATGGTTAGAGAGTCGGACTTGTAACCCAAAGGTTGCGGGTTCGAGTCTCGTACCGGCAGGGATTGTAGGTGGGGGGAGTGAATGTACAGCGCTCTCTCCCACCTTCAATACCACGACTGAGGTGCCCTTGAGCAAGGCACCGAACCCCCAACTGCTCCCCGGGCGCCGCAGCAAAAATGGCTGCCCAATGCTCCGGGTGTGTGTTCACGGTGTGTGTTCACTGCTGTGTGTGTGTGCACTTTGGATGGAATAAATGCAGAGCACTAATTCCGAGTATGGGTCACCATACTTGGCCACATGTCACGTCACTTTCACTTTTAAATATTTTATTTAATTCAACGTTAAATTTATTACACAAACGTTTAGGCTACAACGTCCTAACATAAACAATGGAAGATAAAGGAAGATAATTTGAGAAACAACTCAGTATCTTTTGTTCATACAATTAAAGTCCAAAACAGTCCAACAGTCGTCTTTTTCAGTCTTTTTTCTAATGAAATGAAACTCTAAATAAGAAAGTAAAACTGCCAGCAGGTGGCAGTAAATGTCTTTATACTTCATTCATTCATTGCTCAAACAGCTGATTCATTCAAGAATAAAGTCCAGTGTTGCCAGATTGGGCGGGCTTTGAATTTGATTGTGCAGGTAAAAATTGGCTTGGCCGGGTGGACAAAATTTGGGCTGGTTTGGGGTCAGTTTGGCGGTTTTCAAACATATAAATTGCATAGGCTAATTGTTTAACAAACAAGCCCAAGTGTGCATGTACTGCATTCATTCAGTCATCACAACGTTACTACACACACACACTGCAGAGGCGCTGGTGCTGATGT